GGAATCGATCCTCGAGCCCGCTGCCCCCCGCCGGAGCAGAATCAACTACCACCGGATCAGTCGACAACCCGCCGGACCAACCCAGCAGCCCCAACCTGCTGCCCGTTCAGGCAGCCCCCACTCAACCGGCCCACGCTTCCGGCCTAACGGTCCAACGCAGCCGGCCCCGCAGCCCGGGCAGTCAGCCCAACGACCCGGTCTGCCCAACTGCCCGGACAGCCCCAATTGAATCCAAACTGACCCGTTTGCACCCAAGCCAAACCCAATTGAAACCCGAATTAACCCGATTAAAGCAATTGGGTCCAAATTGGACCCGCCGGAAACTGCCCGTACGTTGTTCGTAGCAACCACCGGTCAGCCGCCGGCCAATTCGCTGGAAAACAGCCCCCAACACAACCCCAATCCAATCTAATGCACAATCAACCAAAAATTTCACAATCAAACAAAATATTGATACCACAAGATCCTAATCTACGAATTAATGCCAACTATAGATATAGTAACCACGAATCACCTCGAATTACTGAAGAATTAGAAACCAAATCGGAAGAGGGACGCTCGCCGCTGCACTCCCTGTTGCGGCCAAATCTACCGTGCGACAGGGAAGGAGGAACGGCGACTGCGGCTACGGCGTTCGGCGAGGGCGGCGTCGGTGGAGCTCGGCGGCGCTGTTGCTGGCTGACGGGACGATGAGGGTGAACGGAAGTCAGGCGCAGAGGTACAGACGGAAAACGTACGGGAAATGGAGAGTGTCCGTTTCTTTGTAACCCCTCCTGTATTTAATATGAGAATTTATTAAATTTGGGGTCCAGTTTACACTTTCTAACCGGTCAGGATGTATTTAGGTCCAACTACCTTATTCGGTAGTCGTATCTTAGGCCGTGTAAGTCCGATTCTCAATCTGTTCGTGCGGTCAGGTTCAGAACAGCGAGCCCTACAACGTAGGTCAACTCTCATATTAAATACACAAATTAGAAAATAATCTTCATTTTGACCGACTTAGTAATTAATTAATTATATAAATTAATTAAAAATACCAAGCCGGGTTTTGGGGCGTTACAGTACCTAGATACCGCCCAAACGGTACGAGGTACCATTTGGCATCAGGTACCGCCAGATGAAAATTTTTCACTCGTACGCTAGCTAGCCTATCATCCCGGCGGTACGACCTACCGTGGCGGCGGTGCCAAGGTACCGTCCGGATGATAGTAGGCTACCGTTCTGCGTGTAGTTTTGAACATTGTCATCTTCAACCTTGAGCCAATTTTCGAAAATATCATTCTTACTCACCAAACTTCAATTAAATCATATAGAAATGTTCTCCAAGGTTCGTAGATCATTTTAGTGTCATTAGTTCGTAGTTTTAACATCAAATTCAAGGTTTATGATATTTAGTTCTTCAAGCATGTCAAACACAAAACTCAACCAAATGACCATTTATGAACGTAGAAACAACCTATATGAACATTCTAGTCATTAGATATATCTACGGGCTTACCTCGAAGCTTAACGGAGGTTTTGGAAAATTTCTAGCGAAACTTCCGGCGAGGTTTGTGGCTAGCTCTAACGACTTCATACCAAATTGACAGTACTATAACACTCCTCACACTCTCAGAAACACTCAGGAAGAAAAATGGAGAAGAATGATGAAGAATGGAGCTTGGAGTGTCCTTTTATAATGGAGGAAAGGAGAAGGAGCCAAAGGAGTAGCTAGTTCTTGATTGCTTCGGTAATTTTGGAATTGACGGTGATTGCCCAGGGTGCCGTTTGGTGTGTAGTCCCTGATTGGGACTAATTTTGGTCCCAGTCGGGGTACACTTTTTGGTTCAACTTTCTCCGAATTAGAATCCGATTGAACTATTGCGGTCGTACAATTAAACTCTATCTAACGATATAATTTTTATATTTATTTGTAACATTTTTCTGACATCATATTTCTGGGGTTTGACTTTGACAAAGTCAAAATTGATTTAATTGACCTTTACTCAAAAACGTTCTCACATTAAATTTTATATTGCTTATTCTCATGATTTATTTCAATAATCATTTCAATGTTTACATCATAAGCAAATTTTTCATTTATTCTTAATTCGGGTCTATACTTAGGTTCCCAATTAAGATCACATAATAAGTCAACATATTGGATTTATCTCTATGAGACTTATCTAGATTGTGATATTGGATATGAGAACATATTTCATTTCGACCCAAAGCCCAACAACAATTTATTTTAATCAAAACAATTTTTATTAATTGAATAATTATCCATTAAATATTTTAGGGTATGTTTTGGGGAGTTACACTCTCCCGTCTTGTATGAAGTACGGCCAATAGAGCCTGTAGTGCTCTCAGAAGAGTTAGGAAAGAGTCTCCGGTGGATGTGAGCATTCCAGAGCATACCGGCATCTAACTCCCTCATCAACTAGACAAGCCGTAGGATAGTAGCATGCCCCATGAGGGAGCGAAAGAGCAAAGTAACCACGAACCCACATGCCAAGTGTGTCCTACACCCATAGGACTTGGAGTATAAGAACCTGACCAGGTACACCGCCATGTTCGCCGGCTGGCGGTTATACAAGCTCCAAAAGACAAACATGTCCTCCTCGTAGACCCTATCTGTGTTCAAAGGCCTTCCAAAGAAGGATGTCGAAAGAACAAAAGATAGGATCCTCTAGGTGGGCCGAATCTAGTATCGAGCTTTATTCTTCTTGCTTACAAACTCCTCGTCAGAGGAGTGCTCCCTCTAGAAATCTACGTGGTCAAAGTCTGTAGGAACACGAAAGGGGGCATCGTAGAATTCAGGCTGCTCTGTCTCCTCCTGGGTATAAAGCCCGAGATGAATAGCCATCCCTCCCATCATCAACTGAAACGAGTGACCCGAAAGAGTGAAGGTAAATGTAGTGTTGGCAGTGATCAAGCTTTGAGTCATCTGGCGTGACTCAATCTCAGGTACAGTGGATAACGAGCATAAGAACTCGATGGTCAATGGTAAGCTAGATTCTGCCTTCAGCTGAAGTAGGCGCTTCCATCTAGTCCCCAGAAGTAGCTCCTCCATCTCCTTTGCATAAGCATAGTCCGTAAGTGTAACGCCCTGAAAACCGGCTTAATAGTTAGCCGTTATTTTACTAAAAATAAACATATTATTTATTAACTTCAAAATATAAATTACTTGTGAAGTTGACCATTTTAATTTGGTGGTCCCAAAGTGGTGAAATACAAAGTCTAGAGGGGGGGTGAATAGACTTTGTTACAGATTTAAAATCTTTTTCGTTTCTTTTGAAAACGAGAAAATGAGTGTTAATCTAGAGTCCTTGTGAACTTTAGATTGTGTGCGGAATTTGGTGGGTGGAGTGAGCAGTAATCAGTATGGATAGGTTAGTTTTCACAGTTAATATAATTGCAAGTAAGAATAAAGATAAGAGAGAGAGACACGCAAACATTAACGAGGTTCGAAGGTGGGGTAATCCTTCTACGTCCTCAAAATCCACTATGTAGTTGGTTGTTGAATAATGAACCAACAGTTACACTTGTGTGAATTTCTGCACGGTATATCTTCACAAGACCAATGTTGCTACTGCACTCGTGCTGGCTTTGTTGTTCCTTCGAAGGTCAAGCTTCTTCAACAACTGCAAGATCCGAACAATAGGACTTGCAAGATCAACTTGTAAGAGAGTTGACCTACCCCCTTTTAATCAATAAGTTTGATCAAAAGTAATATCCTTCAACGTGGTGTGGTGCTTGAGGCAAGGAAACCTTCAAGTGTTTACACTATAGCTTTTTGGAAGGAGGAGAAGTTTGCTTCTGGATAAGGAGTTTAGAAATCTCTCTTTATCAAGCTTTTTGGGCTNCAATTTTGAATGAAGATTGTGATTTGAAGATTCTTCATTGAAGTGGGTGGTTGGACGTACCCAATTGTTGAGAAAGGATTCCTTCTTCCACAGAATCTGTCTTTTAGCCGTTGTTCAAGAATTCAAGACTGTAGCACTTTACTCTGTTTGTCTTCTAGTGCTTGTTTAGGAATTCTGGACAGGTTCTTCAATTTTTGGAGATTCAGACTTTGTCTTCGAGTCATTTGTTCTTGAATCAGCATAATTATCTTCAATCTAGCCGTTGAAAATCAAGAGATTGATTTTTCCTTACTAACGGGTAGAATTTCTTCATTCAAGACTTAGATAATTATCTAAGTCCTTTCTCACTTGTCCGTTTTCTGAGAATTCCGGTCTTCCTTGAGGCATCCGGTTCTTCGCTGACAAATCTGGAGAAGTCATTCTCAGACTTCCGGGTGAGAGAGATCCGCGCTAGTCTTCCGATTTGGGTGACTTAGCTTTCAGCGGGTTGTAGCGAGACATCCGGTTCTTATGTAGTCTTCCGGAACAGAGGATTTTCATCTGCTTGAGAAATCCTTACTTGTCTCTAGCTTTTCCGATTAAGATATCCAATTTCCATATCACTGAATTTGATTATGTCTTCAGGCATCAAAACGCTTAAAGAAATATCACAACCTTAATGGAAAACTCAAGAACTTGGTTTTAACAATATTTCTAAAAAGAAAAATTACATTGAATATTAGGGGAGACCTAAAGTCCCTATTACATTCTAAATACATCATCATCAAAATCTATGATATTTTTCCCAACATAATTAAAAATTAGGTTTTCAGGTAGATCTCGTAAAATGGTGACCAACGGTATATAATTTATTAAATTTAGACTTTTGTGTAAAACGTGGTGAGTAAAGTAGAAATTATAGTTCAATAAGTAAATAAAAGGATTTTTATAATATAATATGTTAATAAAATAACATTCCTAAATTCTAAGTGCATAAGGAGTAGGGGTGTTCATTTTAGGTCTGGACCGAAAACGGGTCGGTATTCGGTCCGGATTAATTCTAATTTCGGGTTTCGGTCCGGTCCGGTCAATAACCGAATACCATTCGGTCTAGACCGATAGACGGAGAAAACTATTACTCCCTAATTTTTTATATTTTCGATCGCAGGGCCTCTCCCTCATCTTCCCTCCTCTCAATCTCCATTTTCTCCCCACAGTAATCAGTCCTCTCTCGTCTCCCTCTCGTCTCCGATTAAGGAAATCGCGCCTTCCTTCCTCATTTCCGATTAAGGATTACGACTAAGGATTCGCAGAGCAGGACAGGGCACAGGTAAAGTCTGGTTAAGGATAATATCTGGTTAAAGGTTCCGATCTAAATCTGATAAAAGAAGGGATAAAAATCTGATTAAAGTCGGGTTAAAAAGTCTGATTAAAATCTTGTAAAGCACAGCGCACAAGTTTGTCTTCAAGTCTGATTGTATTTTTATCTGTGCAATTAATTTCCTATTAAGGATTCCGATCTTTACTATAGTATGGTTATATTTTTTTTATATTTGTTTATATTGCTCAAACTTGTTGTGTCCAACTGTCCATGTAATTGTGTTCATGAATCATGACAGTCAATGACCACTGTGAATATTTTGAGGTGGTATGGATACCTTTCAGGCATTGGCCGGTTTGATGGTAAAAGAAATTAAAGAATCTTCATTCAATTTGATTTTTGCAGATTTAAATATTTATGGCTAATTGAATTACAATTGAACAATTATTTTCAGTTTTTTACTAGTTTTGCACACCAAGTGTTTGAACAAATGGTGAATGAATGCTGCAAAAAGTGCAAATTACTCGTATTATTTTTCTTTGTGTAATTATATTTGTAGTGTTTTGCTAATATAACATTTAAAAATTCAATTTAAAAAAAGAAAAAAAGAAATCGGTCTTTTTGGTCCATACCGGTTCGGTCCAATAGTTTTCGGTCCGGACCGATCCAAGACCGACTATTTATAGGTCCGGTCTTCAGTCTCAATTCCTTTTCATTTTGGTCTTCGGTCCGGTCCGGTCCGGTTCGGGACCGATGAACAACCCTAATAAGGAGTCCAAAACCAAAGCCCAATTACGTTATATATATACGGAGATCTCCCCTGCCAGAATTCCTCATCACCCTCATCAGCTTTTTCGATCTTCTACGCGGAGAGACGCCTTAGTGTTGCCAGAGCTTCTTCGCCAAATTGTCGTCCTCACCAGAAGTCTTCTTCTTCTCTATTGTGCGACATACCGCCTGAAGAAGGAAGGTCTAGATTTTTGACATTAATTAATTGGGTTTTCTTCAATTCAATCAAGGTGAGTGATTTATCTCTCGATAGAATTAGTTCATAGATTAGGATTCGTTGGTATATCTTCATTCAGTTGACGTTGAATTTGTGGTTATGATTATTGAATTGTGTGGTTGATTGTGTCGAAATTGAATTTAGAAATTGGTATTGTGAATTGGTTTTGAGGTACAGAATTGAATTGTTAGGGATATTATGTTCACTTATAGGACTAAGGATTTCGAACTTAAGGTCATGCAGGTGTCGGCGTACATCTGATGGTCTCCAGGGTTAAAGCGTACGTACGGGAGTCCGGGACCTGCCTCGGCACCTCCGTGGTAGGGGCTCCAACCCGCCCAATTGGACACCTTCCATTGGGTTCACAAGCTTGGCCTCTTGGACACCTTTCCAAGAGTGTCCATGTCTAGTAGGTTTAGTTAGGCTTTAGTCGAATATGTTAAGTATGGTAACAATACACAAGGATCTGAAACGAACGGACGTACGAACGAACGAACAAACAACGAATTATACTATTTGATAATTGTGATTACTGTTTTTTCTGATTTTGTATGATTATATGTTAATGGGTGCTAGTCTATGAGTTAGTTCTAGCGTAAGATACTTCCACTCTCCCTATTTTTACAGGTAGGGGTCAAGGATTAGACGAGGGCAACCTGGAGGACAGTGAAGCGTGACGCTAGTGGATGGCCTGAAGCTGCTTGTTCTAAATTAATTATATTTTGACAAATTTGTTTATTTAAATTACAAGGATGCTGGATATTGTTTTAAAGGCTTCCGCAACGTTTCAGTTATTTACTCCGATTAAATGATGAATTATTTTTCAATAAATATGAATGTTTTTTTATTTCTAAGTGTTTTTAATATATTATGCATGTGAATACCAAATTAGAAACAACCCGATTCGATAACTCGTTGGTTCGGGTTACGCGGGTTGGGGTGTTACAGTCAGTGTATCCTGAGCCAGGCACACCGACTCGTGTAACACTCGCGAGAGTCCCCACTCATCAAACCTCGTCCTGGGGCTAGCTCCAATCACTTGGACCTCATCACGGTCCACGGTAGGGTAAGAAGGTCAATGAGGCATCTGCATACACATAAATAAACGCATAAAATCTTGCCCCCAAAACTTGTGCGGCAAGTAAAAACTCAAGAATAACAAATAAAATTATTGAATTTATTTAATGATTTTAGTTATTTGAATGACCGGTTTCCTCCCGTTAAGCGCTTCTTTAACATCTGTAGCTTGACACCTTAGCTACTTTTTCTATGACTTTCCGATCCGAGAGTCATAATGTTTGGTCCTTTTCACTCTCTTCTGATACTACCCTGTTTGAATATTTGTTCGGTCAAGGTCCAGGATCCTTGACTCATCCCTGCGGCTTGGTGGCAACACGATATATGGAGGAGACTTTGTATTGATTGGTGGTGGCGGAAGTCTCCTCGGTTGTTCCACATCTTTGGCCTTGATTGCGAGATTGATTTCTTCTTTGTCTTCAACGGGCTGACTAACTATTTGTGGCTCAATGATTATGATAGTACTTACCCTTGTGGAAGAGTCCCCAGTTTCACTCATTAGATGTTTTTCCAAACTTGTTTGGCTACAACTATCCTCCGGGCAAACATAGGTACACCCGTCAGGAAGGCAGTCAAAGAAATTTTGGTCTAAATCTTCACATAATTTTGTTTTGCCCCATAGTATAGCAAAAGTAAACACCTCAAAGTATTTTTAAAATTCATATTTTGTTTGAAATCGGAATATAACATTTTGGTGTGGTTGCTAGGATTTTCATTATTATTTAGAACCAATATTTTTAACCCTATCTTAGTTTCCACGCGTGAAAGAATGACATAAAGTTAACTATGAGTGAACTTCAACGTAGTTAAAAATAATTCAATAAATGATAATATTTGACATTGACTTTTATCCATAGTCATAACAAAGCGTAAAGCGTTCATCATCGCATATCTTCCTCTGGTTTTCACTCATTGTAGATATATATTACTCCCCCCATCTTAAAACTATCTTCCGACTTCATCATTTTTCATGTCCTAAAATTACCTTCCCACATCCCAAAAAAGGGTGTAAAATGACAATCCTACCCTTACAACATTTAGGTGCTGTTTGTTTTTTCTACAGAAAAAGGTCTGCAGTTTGCAGACCACATCTGCACACATTTGCAAGAGAAGAGGTGGACCAAAGGTCTGCAGTCTGTAAGAGGAAGACAGTTTGTTTTTAATTTCTACAGATTGCTTAAATAAATTAAAATTAAAAATAAATAGATTTTTAAAGCAATCAATATTTTTTAATCATTTAAATTTAATCAAGAGTTCTACAACACTGAAAAAATAACAATAACATTTTTTAAAACAATTTATTCCGTACTTTTCAAATAATTTATTCCGCACTTTGCATTAAGTGCTCGGGAATTGAACTACTACAACAATCTTTAACAACAATTAACAACAAATTGTTGACTATTGTATAAAAAAGAGATTAAAAAAATGTTTAAAAAAACATTGTAAAAAAACCGTACAAATTGTTGTCGTCAAGGATGAGAACGTAAAAAAATGTAAAAAAATATTGACTATTGTACAAATTGTTAACAACAAAAAATGTAAAAAAAATTGTTGAAAAAAGAGATTAAAAAACAAAAAAAAGTGAAAAAAACATACTTGTTGCTACAGGGATGGGAATCGGAGGAGATGGACGGAAGGGATGAGAAGAAGCCGGTGGGGATGGGGAGAAGGAGGAGGCATCGCCGGTGGGGATGAGGAGAGCCGGCAGATGGAGACGGACGACTGGAGAGGAGGGAGACGGACGGCTGGGAGGATGATGAGAAGCCGGTGGAGGGAGAGAGGAGTCCCCGGCGGTGGTGGAGGCTCCGGCGGTAGAGGGTCGCGCATAGGGCCGGACGGAGATATTGGGAAGGGAGGCAGATGGGTAGGTTTTGAGATGGATTGTAATTGATGAGAAGACGTGAGAAGCTGTTGGTTTATGTCTGCTTGAGGAAGATGTTTGGAAGACGTTTTTAAGTGATTTGTCTCCTAAAAAACAAACAGTCTGCGCGTCCCTAATGTCTGCTCGTGTGTGCACGGCGAGAACATAAGTGGTTAGAAGCTCTTCTCACCAAAAAACAAACACCCCCTTACTCCCCAACCTTCCCACTCTATCGACATTTTTTCTCCCTCTTATCTTCGTCTCTCTTTCAATTCACCTCCTCAAAACCTTGATATAATATAGGGATCAAAGTTGCCATCGCCATTCTTGAGATCGTCTCATCATCATCAGCTCCCTCTCCACACTCAGAATCTCGGCATCTCAACATCTCCACTCGGCATCTAGGGATTGGGGTTGCAAGAAGGACGTCAGTCGGAGTAATAAGGTCGCTGGTATGTGACTCGAAGTCTAAATACCTTCACGGAATTGGAGATGATGATGAGCTTCATTAGTCTCTACCTTCAATCGGAAATTGGAAAACTATAGGCGTCTAGAGTTTTTTTTCAATTATTTTTTAATCAGAATTCAGTCCTTTTTCGATTGGTTATTCAATCTGTTACTCATCAGTTGTTTTTTATTTGGCCAAATTTACATGCCGCTTCATTAGCAGTTGTGCTTTTTGATCGGGCCACACATGTTAATTGTGGGTATGTCAGTCATTTACCATCGGCGAGCAAGCCGCCCGGCCACCGTTTTTACTGCCCAATTACTAGAAAAGACAGAAAACTATTATGTTTTTGGGTTTAGATGGAGGGGCATTTTTGGAAGTCAAATCCGTATTAATCAATCCCTTAAAAATGGGTTTTAGTCCATCTAGGAAGTTGAATTTAGGACGGAGAGAGTATTTAAGATCATATGACAACTTTTATTTATCATAGTCCAACTCATCTACCAAATCATATTATTTGTCATCTCAGAATGACATATCACTAAACTCTTATAAGGATAATCTATTTGATTTAAGTAACATTTCAATCTCAATCAAACATAAAGTTTTTAGATCTTCTTGAAAAATAATAAGTTCTACAAAAATGGTTAGAATAGGACTAAATCATTATATTTTAACCCATATCTCAAGTCTAATGTTTTGTATATATATCATACGGAGTACATTTCATTACCTTTTTATAGAAAGACTTCGCTTTTGCAATTTCATCAATCAATTAAAGTTTCATATCAACAAAGAGCTCCCATGATTCTTCCCAAACAACATATTAAGAACGACTCATGGTATTTCTCACTAATAATGTGACTAACAACTTTATTAGTGACTCCGAGATCCTAGCTCAATAGTCTATTTTATATCTTCAATAAATTTTTTATCATTGGTTAATAACTCCAATGTTTCACATGCATTGTTGAATGATTTTGCTTGTATAATATTATTGATAAATGTTTTCAAGCTCTGATAGCTAGCTTGTACATCCCCATTAGACCGCTTATAGTTTTTTCAAGTAGTACAATTTTTCTATTCATATTGGCACACATTGCAAGCAGCCTATCAATGGTCTTTATAGCTTCAAAAACAATGAAGAAATTATAGCCAACAATGTTTTGTTAAATTTAGTTATTTTCAAAAATTTAAATATGCGTGCATTAATTAGGATACTAAATAAAAAAGAAGCATGCGTAAAAAATCTAAAGCAGAGGTTTTAGAGTTTAATTACATATGATTCCTAGGAAACCTTCAAAAGATATTTTTGATTGTGATAGATGTATGTTGAATTTCTAAAATAAAACAATAATCATAAAATATGCACCTTTTTATGTGCTTTTTTGTTGAAATATTTCACTATTTCTCCTTTCTCTTGCATTTCTAGTTGATCTCGTCTATCTCTCGTTAACTTAATTTTCCATGTTTTCAATTGTTATAGAAAAATTGGATGCTCATACCAACTATAGTTAAAAAAGAAAATAAAGTTTGAATACTTATTCTAATTTTTAATCAAAATATTAATCTTCTCTGAACACGTGTGTATTTAGGCTTGAGTGATGGTGATAGATGAAATGACACATTTCTTGAATTATATCTGAACATTTTGTAATTGAATTTTAAGGTATCAATTATTTTTATTAATATGACTCTAAAACTGAGTGATTTAAGTAACAAATCAAAAAACAGAGCTACTTATATTGTAAATTACTATATTTAATGTTTTATTAAATTTATAAGATTTAGAATTGAAAAAAGGCAAGTAATATTGAAAATTACTATATTTAATGTTTTATGAAAATTATAAGATTTGGCTTTTTAAAAAAATCATATTCCCAATATGTTCGAATATTCTCTGAAAAAGATCTCTATTTTTTGCTCTTTAACCAAAATTATATGGTTATATTTTTTGTTTCTTTTTATGTTTTCATTTTTTTGTTCCAATATTCTAATTAAATTCAAAGGTAATGTTATTTTAGTTTCAAATTTTATGAATAATATTTACAATGGTTTGTATATTTTAAAATTGTTTTACATTATTAACTTAAGTTAATTATTTATGGGAAAAACCTATACAAAAGTATGAAAATGGTTAATATATCCATGCTAAAAGTTAGTACACTAAAGCGGGGAAATGTTACAAATTTAAAAATAGTGCTTCTTTAATTTTTAACACATGCCTTTATGTTATCACTTTTCCATCACACTCCAAATATTACCCTGTCATTATACTAATATTTTGGTATTAAAAGACTTAAAGCTCTTATTTGGTATATTAATAATTTTTTACCTCTATCTAGGGATATTTCTTAAAATATAATTCTTAATCTAAAAAAAGCAAGTGTTCTTCACCCCCCATAGGTATATATGGTACACAGATTGAAATGTCTGAATAACTTGAATAACATTTTTGATTATTTGTCTCGTTTCACTTTGCTGTCAAATCTTCAATTATGCATTGTATGATTTAAAAAAAAATAAAATAAACATTGAAATTTCAATGATTTTTCTCTAACGCATTAATTCAAAGAAAAAATTATACAAAAATATTAGCAATCTTATAATTCTGAATGGAAATTTATAAATACATTTGGCAAACTCTCATGCAATTCTTTTTTCCTTTATGTTTGAATAAGAAACTATTCAAGCCCATGGAAATATTTTTTAAAATTTATTTTATTTAGACAAATTGATCATTAAAAGAAATAATCTAGACACTTATTATTTTAAAGAATACTCTGTATTAACTTAGAGCTATTTTTCATTTTTTTATATTCAAACAAATAAAATAATATAATTCATTTAATCATATTATAAACAGAAATAAAATTTTATTTTAATCAATTACATTATATAATTTACTTAAATAAATTATCATATCCTAAAAGCTAATAAAAATAATATATTTTTACATTTAAATGATAAAGAATCTAAACCCTAAAAATTATAAATTTTCTTGTAATTAACTAAAATTATAAAATTAAAATAATTACTTACAAAATTATGTATAGTAACCTTTTCTATACTTGAACATTATTATAACCCAACCATATCTTTTTAAAAAAATGATTAATGTAATTTTTAAAATATGTTGTTTGTTTTTTTAATTCATATCAATATAGAAAGAAATATATTCAAAACTAACTTCATTTTAACTTATCATAAACAAACAATCATGTGAAATTTATTTAGAGGAGAAGAAAGTAGTGTATTAAATAATTTAAAATTTTGTTAGAAATGAAGAAAAAAATACTAAATCATGAAAAAGTATTATTATAAAAATGAATATAAATATTTCATAATTAAATTTATTCAAAGATTTCATACAAAAATAAGTTTTCATATTTTATGTCTTAAATTATGTGTCATATTACGTGTAAAAAGCCACATAAGTAATGCATATATGAACTTTCTAAAGATAAAAGTTTAATCACTTTATATAAAGGATTTATTGAATATTTTTATTCTTACTAATTTACTCCCTCCGTCCCGTTTTAAATCACCATTTTTAACTTTTGAGCATATTTAAGGTAGAGAAAAAATAGAGTTGATTTTTCGAAATTGCCATTACTATTTAGAAGGGGTGACGATGAATGAGAAGATCAGGTGAAGAAGAGAGACTTATTTTAGGGGTAGTTTAAATATTTTACTCTTAAAAGTTTACGATAACAAGTAACAAGCAACTTATATGATTTATGAGCTAGACTCCATAAATCATATAAGTTGCTTGTTACTTGTTATCGTGGCACAATATATCTCATAAATATGCTCAAAAGTCAAAAAAGCAACTTATATGAATTTATTCACATGCCAACTTATATGTGGCACAATATACCTCATATTGTGCCACATGTCAAGCTCTCTTGCATCAAACTCTCAAATTTATATATAAAGGATTGCAAAGTCAAATTGATATTTTTGGAAAAGTAAAAATTTATTCAAAAATTCATAGTCGGACCCCATGACATAAAATTCTTGAATCCGCTTCTGAGTCCATAACTCCTTTGTTGATGAGACCTTAGAGTAAACTGCATACAAAACATCACTAAGACAATTCAGGATAAGATTGAGACACAAATAGTTATTCACTTTCCATGTCTAATCCGTCCATAAATAAGATCGCATATGCTTGGGATCCCCAACCCAAGCTGCTACGCCAAGGGAGGAGCCTTAATTGTTGACTCTGTCAATATCGTACTCCCTCCGTCCTCCAGTTTTTGTCCACTTTTGACTTTTGGAACTGTAATCTAAGCACTTTGACTCATCAAATTCTCTCAATGTAAGCCTAAATATAGTCATGTCTGATCTTGTTTGATTTGTCTTAACATATAGATTATTAATATATAATTTCTATAATTTTTTAATATACAAATTACAAGATAAAATGGATTAAGGAAGTACATTGAATGATGTGCAAAAATGAAAGTGGACAAAAACTGGGGGACGGAGGGAGTAAGTAGTATATACAGTATACCTATCACTTACTATTCGTTAAGTATTTATCCATTTTTGACTTTTTTTAGTTAATCATTTTCAACTTTTAACCTATAATTAAATGAATTATATATCGTATACAAATTAAATAAAATAATATTTTGAAAATGTTATATAAAAAATATAATAAAATTATTTTTGTATTAATATCTAATATTTTTTATTTAATTTGAACCAATTTTAACAAAAAAAAAGTCCAAAGTGACACTAAAATTGGATGTTTCGGCCCTAAGGGCACTGGTAATGGGAGTAACGCCAGGGGCGTTATTACACCTTTTAACGCCAAAGGGGCAGCAAATTAAACACCGCCCCCTTGGGGCTTCATACGGGCTTCATACTTCCTACATCAAACATTTAACGGGCTTCAAAGCCTTCCCACTCTCTCTTTAAAAAAAATATACACAAACATAAATTTTTTTACTCTATATTTTGTTGTTTAATGTAATATTTTTTTTGTTTAAATTTTTTTTGGTAATGTAATTTTGTTTTGTTTTTTTATTAAATTTAACATACTTTTTTTATTGACTGTATTTTTTATTTAATGAATTATTTCAGTTTGCAATATGTTACTACAACTCAAATTTGAATGAAGATATATTTAGTCGCTCGAATAATTAGTATTTTCTTTGTAGTGTTATTTTTTTATGGATGTAATATTTTTCTTTAATAAATGTAACTTTTTTTATGAATGTATTCTTCTATGAATGTAATATTTTTTTAATGAATGTAATTTTTTTAATGCACTAGTCTCCTTTTGATTAATTTAAATAATAAATTAATTAAAATTTAATAATTTAAATTTAGAAGATATATATTTAAAAATGTAAAAAATGAAGGTTTGAAGCCCCCTGTTTGAAGCTCCGGGGCTTCAAACCCATTTCCACTAAATTTGTGAGATAAGTTAAAGCTGATGTGGCAGAGAGAAATTTTGAAGCCCCGGTTTGAAGCCCAGGGTTTCACGAGTATTTCCAGTGCTCTAAGTTTGGATATGCTCATGTGTTTGTGAGAAAGTGTGGGAGGCAAACGTATAAAATTAATTTAAAAAGGACGTAGGGGTTGGTCGATAAAAATTGGGAATGATCGAGGGAATTACAGATGATGCATTTTGCCCAACTTTCTAAAGACAATCTCATTTCAAAATTGGAACGAGTGTGGTCATAAAAATTTTAAGAGTCATACTAGATGTACACCAAAATGGAGTACTTCATTTGTATACCAGGTAAACACAGACACTTAGTGTTACACAGACAACTAGTGTCTGTGTTATCCTGCTATTTAAATGAGGTATTCCATTTTGGTGTACACCTAGATTTATTCAATTTTTTAAGGTCAAATATATTGATTTGGATAGGATGGTTAAGCTTGTTCGTGGTTCTTTTTTTGGTAGTTCAGCTTGTGGTTTGAGCTAGCTAGCTTAGCTTGTACGTACAAATATTATACTCCCTTCGTTCCTAAATATTTGTCACACTTCTATTACCGAGGTAAAATATCAAATTTTTTCAATTCATTTTATTTACATATTGGTATAGGAATAAAAAATAAAATTTACATATCAAAAGACTACATGAAAAGTTGTTCGAAATAAAAGGTGTCAAGAATATTTTATTTTTATCAAATAACCAAAGAAAACGTAGAAATAAACAAAAGTTCTCGCGACTGCTGAAAAAATAAGTGTGACAAATATTTTGGGACCAAGAGAGTAAGAAAAATGGTCTCAACTTTGACATCACCTCCCTTCTTACAGACAACGACTAATATCCGACAGTGTTCCTTGTTAATGAATGTATGTGAAAAGAGCGGTGTCAAATATAGTGTCGGTCGAAGTTAAGATATCCCAAACATAACTCAATACAACCATACCTCCTCCGCCTAAGAACAATTACTTGTCCAGTTTGATTTTTTATAGTCCAATATAGTGTTGGTCGAAGTTAAAATATCCCAAACATAATTCAATACTACCATACCTCATCCGCCTAAGAATAATTAATCATCGGGTTTAATTTTTTATAGTCAAATAAAATAAATTAACTTTAACCAATAAATAAATAAAATAAGTATAGCATATAAACACAAAAACAACTTCAAACAGGGAGGGAGAGAGCATTATATAAAGAGGTCATGCAAGAGGAATGGGGACTCATATTTTAATTTGGAGAAACACGGAGGATGCATGTTCAACCTAACCTCATATTCCCAGCGTAAAACCAGTGAACATCCCCCCTCCTATACAGTTTGCAGAGCATTATTATTATCTCACAATTCGCCTCAACGTCTGGGCTCTCCCCATAGTAAATATNCCCCCCCCCCCCCCCTCCTATACAGTGTTTTCAGAGTATTATTATTACCTCACAATTCGCCTCAACGTCTCGGCTCTCCCCATAGTAAATATATTCAACATTATTCCATCATTTGGGTGCCAAAACATAGCTAGAGACAATAAGAAATTCAAAAAGAGCCAGCCACAATTCAAAATGATGGCCGCCGCTACTACTACTGCTCATCACATCATCATCATAACTCCCTTTGTTCTTCTCATTGCTGCGATAACGGTGGCGTCATCATCATTGTCTCCGTCTTCTTCGTCTGCTGCTGAATACCATCGTCCATCGAGAAACGGAGACGTGGCGGCAGCCATGGGAGAGATGCAGAAGGCGAACTACTTTGCCTTTGTCATGCTCATCAACATGGCCCCGCCCGACCTCTTCCAGGGAAACGTCACGTTGTTGATGCCCAACGATAGGGCACTGTCGAGGTCGGAAATCATGCCGGACAGCAACGTCGTCAGCTTCTTGCTCCGCCACTCCATCCCTTCCAGTCTGCTCTTCGACCACCTCCGGCATGTCCCCACCGGATCCTTCATCCCCTCCTCCAAGCCAGATTCCATGTTGAGGGTCACCAACTACGGGCGGAGGCAGTTCTTCCTCAACAATTCCCGCATCGTCAATCCCAATGTCTGCACCACCACCGCCGCCTCCTCCATCACGTGCCACGGCATTGATGGCGTCCTCCAAGCCGGTGGCCCTGCAAACCCGACCCCTCCTCCTTTTCCTCCTCCTCCTCGAGCACCACGGGTGGCGGCCTTACCGTGGGCGGCGCCTTCTGAGCCTGCACCGCCCATCACAGCCAAGGATAATAATAATCCACCGCCGCCATCGTCACTCACGCCGCCGCCAGCTGATTCCATCAAGATCAACAGCGCACAAAGATTGGGCTATCCGTCCATTATTATGGGTGGTGGAAGAATGGTTGATATGATATGGTTTGTACTTTTCATGTTTCTCCTATAATCCAATTGAAGCATTAATTAATTACTACTCCAGTCTACGAACAGTATAGATAGAGAGTAATTAAACACCTACGTTATGATTGAATGGGTGCGTGCCCATTATATATAGTATAGGGTGATGTTTGGCAATATTGAATATTTCCCTCCGGCCCCGCTTCAGGGTATTATTACAATTTACAAACAAATTAAAGAAAGGTGTTCTAATTTTTCTACTATCATCTTCAAAGACTTACGTTTATTAATCCCTCTCTCACTCAGCATTTGTGGGCAAGTTATATGGTACGGCCAAATCTACCTTCGGCAAATTTGTATTTAAAAAAATATTTCATAATTAACATTATGTCATTTTAAAATGAACATTATGTTATTTTAAAATGAACATATTTCAAAATAAACACTACGTTATTTGAAAATAAACACTCTACAGAGCAGGCTTGAAAATGAACATTATGATAGAAAAAAATCACTAAATTCAAAATGAACATTCTGTTGATTTAAAATGATTATTTTCCAGATGTACCTAACTCTACATATAGCCGGATGTATAGTATATATTTTCGCATTTGTATGTGTTTTCTAAGTTAGTGAACTTTTTAACTAGTTGAGTTTTTTTGTATATCAAATTATAATTAACGGATCAAATAAACATTTAAAATGTTTCTGTAAAGTTACTAGTAATACGTTGATAAGTTATACTCTTTCTGTCCCATTTTAAATTGCATGTCTTCTTTTCTTCTTCGTCCCAAAATAAGTTGCCTGTTTCTTATTATCATAAACTTTTAAGAGTAAAATAACTAAATTACCCCTAAAGTAAGTCACTCTTCTTCACATCTTCTCATTCATCATCACCTCTCCTAAAAAGTAATGACAATTTTGGAAAGTCGACTCTATTTTTTCTTTTCCTTAAATATGTCCCAAAGTCAAAATAGGCGATTTAAAACGGGACGGAGGGAGTAGACAATTGAAAAATGATAGAGAAAGGAAATGAATAATTTTTGTTTACATACAAACAATCAAGAAAAAAAATCCAGCGAGACTGTACAAAAAAAAATCCAGCGTGGGTACAAAAAAAAACCAGTCATTTGAACAATCAGGCCTCCTACGATCAACCCATTGGCAAAGCAAACAAGTGGTGGCCGATCATTTCTCCCTGAAATGCAGCGGAAACAGTGGCGGCGACGCCTGTGATGGCGGTGGTGGTAGTCATTTGGAAATATAAGGCCAATTTTGTTATTCACTTGGCCAAAAACGGCTTAAAAATAAGACCAAAAAAACTTCTTATTTTTGGACTTCTACTTTAGCACTCTCTCACTCTCTCCGTTTTTTAAAACCCGATCTCTTTCATTTTTTTGTTTTTCTTAAAACACTTCTTTTTTCTATTAAAAAACCACTTTTATCCCTACTTTTTCATACCCTACCTATCACATCGTACTTTTTCTCTAATAACTAAACTATCACATCTTACTTTTACCCATCACATCAGGGGCAAAATTGGAAAGTCAACTAAAATTACACTTTTTTTATTTTGCCCCAAAGTCAAAACAAGAACCGTTTTAGGAAATGGAGGGAGTAATAAATAAATTAGAAATTGGTTTATATTGAAAAAAGAAAAAATGTTGTGTGTAATAAGAAAATAAGATAGCATAAACTTTATTTTGACACATTAAAAGAAGTCTTACCTTTATTTAGAGATAAAAGTACTTCTCAATATCCTATCTTATCTTATCCTACTCTTTACAAAAGCAAAAAGAAAAATATTCCCACTTAAAAGCTTGACGGTTGTGCACATCGTATTGGGCCGAGCCGTGTTTTGCGCACAATTGCCTCCGGGCTTCAACCTCCCACTATTTCATTACTTCTAACTTGCACGTCATTATCGAAATCCTATTGCACGCGGCTTAGAGAAAAGAGGATTCTCATACAAACACGGAGATCGGGAAGATCCCTAGCACAGAACGGTAGAAGCAAGAGATGACAGAAGGAGAGCCTGGTCTCTAACGCCATTTTCTTCTTCTTTTTTCATTTTGTTATTTAGGGTTTCTAATGTCCCTAACCTTCTATTTTCCTAGATTAATCAGTGCAATTCGCAACTAGCGAATTTTTGATTTTCACTAAAGCTAATATTATTCATGGATGGATTCTAATATAAAATATTTCGCTTTGTATCTTCTAATGTTTGATGTTGGAGGTAACTTTTTGACAATAATATCATCTTCAACTTTGTTTAAAAACAACAATTGATAATTTTGTGATTTTATTTTGATTTCTCCCATTTTAAGCACGTCTTTTAAAATATTATTTCTCATTTTTTTAAACTTTGCACATCCAGGATAGATTAATTAACACCAGGAGAGAGGATAAATATCACAAATCTTGGTGATAATGATGTTGAGGAGTTTACTGAAGGAATCAATGAAACTAGGCCTTGCTATTATAACATATCCTCTATTTGTTTTGCTCCTTTTTTTTTAAATTTTCTGTTTTGATTTTTATTTCAATCATTTATAAGTTCTTCTCTACATCTTAGTGGAGAGGAGAATGTACTTGCCGGTTTGAGTAATGTTAGATGAGTGATCAAAATGCAGATCTACCTACATACGAATGACATACATTGGTAGTTTTTTGAATAAAAATAATAAACTATAATTCCCTTAGAATATCAATTTGGACCAACAGAATGTTGGGATGACAATCATTAGAGATTTAGACGGGGTTATTGTGGATTTTTTTCGTATGCTTTTATGTGCTTTTAGTATTTTTGGGCAAGGTAAGAATAATGATTGCTATTGCTAGACTATATACTCCCTGACTCCCTCTATCCTTGAAAAAAGGAGTTTAATTTGTAAAATGATTTTTTTCAACAAACATCACATTTGAGCAAAATAAGCTACAATCTGTTATATTTAGCTCATATCTATACTTTATTTAAAAAGAGGTGAATTTTTTCCCGCCCAAACGTGAGAGGATTAAATGGAAAGTTTTGTGCATGTTACCCCATTACATTTATTCTAAGCATTAATATTGGTAAGTATTACTTAATAAGTGCTCCGTACTATATTACCATTTTTGGGTTTGGAGAATATAAAAAATGTCAAAATAATATATAGAAAGTGTGTGTTACTCCAGTAACATGTGAGTAAGTATTAATATTGGTAAACATTAATTAAAAATTATTATGTTTCCATTTTTTAGTTGGGAGAATACAAAAAACATATAAAGTGTATTTCTATATTTCCATTTTTATAAAAATGTTAGGCTGATAAATATTTCTAATCTAAATACGAAAATAAAAAAATTTACAAATTCCAAAATCAGTAAAGAAATTAAAATTTTTCTATATATTGGTAATCATCAATTAATAATTACCGTGTTTCCATTTTTTATTGGGATAATACAAAAAAAATATTGCATATTTCTATGTTTTCATTTTCATGAAAAGGCTAGCCTAATTACTATTTCTAATCTAAATACGGAAACTTACCAAAATTACATATTGGTAAGAATTAATTAATAATTACTATGTTTCTATTTCTTGGTTGAGAGAATATAAAAAGATATATTACATATTTCTATGTTTCCACTTTTACTAAAAGGCTAGCTTAATTATTTTTTCTAATCTAAATACGAAAATAAAAAAATATTTAAAAAGTTTAAAAATCAATAAATAAATTAAATTGTTCATACATATTGGTAATCATTAATTAATAATTAATATGTTTCTTTTTTTTGGTTGGGAGAATACAAAAAAAGGAGAAATGCTAGGTTCACAAATCAAATGGTTACAAAGTTCACAAACTTACCATTTATGGAGTTCAATAAACAAATAAAATAGTCTAGAATAATTTTTAAAAAATAATATAAATCACAAATAATAAGTTTGTGAAATTTCTGATTACTTTGTTTGTGAACCTAGCAGTTCTCATTAAAATGTATTGCATAGGCATTAGTTTTTGTAAGCATCAATTAACAATTTCTACGGAGTACTATGTTTCCATTTTTTGGTTCGGAGAATACAAAAAATATATAGCATACCAATAAGTATTCATTTTTATTAGAAGGCTGGGCTGACTAGGCTAATTCTGAAAATTTTAAAAATTACAAATTACGAAATAGAAAAAGAAATTAAATACATTGGTATGCATAAGTTTTTGGTAAGTATCAAATTCCGAATTGGAAAACAAATTCCGAAAACAAAAAATATACTGCGTATGCATTAATTTTGGCAATCAATTTTTACTATGTTTCCATTTGTTGGTAGGGAGAGTAAAAAAATATAGCGTACCAATAAGTTTCCATTTTTATTAAAAGGCTAGGCTGACTAGGCTGATTCTGGAAATTAAAAAAAGTTTACAAAATCCGAAACAGAGAAAGAAATTAAAATTTTCCTACGATGCATACAGACATTCTCAAACTCTCTTTGTAATTATCCTCTTTGAACTGCGTTTTGAGTTTTAAAGTTCTTATTAAGTTATTATTATATTAAATATTATATAATCATTCAATTCTACATTTTGAGTAAAATGAGATTGTTAACAAATGTAAAAAATATTAGTGAGAGGTCATTAGTTTTGATGCTAAGAGCGATAAGAGTTTATCATTTTTCCGCCCATGCCAGGGGACCCGAATCCTTGGATGTAATTTTTAATGATTCAGATGTTAATTGTTTTATTATAATTAACCTAAAATACGTATACATTCACAACGTTGTAATGATGCTAATATGCACTTTTTTTCATTTGCTCAGAGAGATCGAATACAGTGCAGATTAGAGATTCAAATATACGTACTTTCAATGAAAAATTGAAAGAAGAAAGTGTTTATTTACTGATAAAAGTCAAAACACTATGCAATTACCAAACAATGAAAACTACCAGCCACCCTTTTATGCTAAAATTCTTTGGCACGATGAAACTTAAAGAGATTTCGAGAAAGTTTTCTGAATTTTCTTTACAAATTTATGGGATTTTCGTTACAAATTTATGAGATTCAGAAATTGACTTTTGGTGACAATGTGTTGTTAATAAGTAAACATCACTTAGATTATTATCAATCTGTATCTTTCAAAAATGATGTTAATATAATTTACTAACGTAAATATGATCCGTGCAATGCACGGGTGTGATACTAGTTTTTTTAGTAATAGTATTGCCTCAAACAAGTTTACCGGCCGTGTTATATTTAGCTAAACCAAAAACTTAATATGAAAATCATTGGTTGAAATCATTAGAATTTTTGAAAGGCCAATGCCCTATTAAAAGTGAGGTATATGTAGTTCTACACTATGTTTGGTTGTATGATTCAAGGAATTAAGAAGAAAAAGAAAATAAAATGACTTTCTCTCATTTTCCTCATCAAAATAAGAGAAATTTTGTTTTTCCTCTTAGATTATTGTCTTCTCATTTTTTTCATCACTTCTCTTTTCTTTCCTTCTCTAACCACACAAGATAAATTATTTTCCATTTCACTTTCTTTTCTTTTCCATTTTGAATTCCTTGAATCAAACAGTCTTAAAGAAATTAATGATTCAATGATGATGGAGTACTTAGTTGATTAGAGTTCATAAAGGATCCGTCTGAAACACATGAAGTATACATTATGCCTGTTTTTCATCATGCATGGTGGTGGTAACCTTTTTTAAGTTTGAAACTTATTTATTTTGTTTTGTTTCCATTGCATTCGGCATCTTTTTCCTTCACTCAAGCCTTTGTCTTTGCCTTTCATTTTCTTTTTGGGGATTCAGATGTGACAGTTTTTTGGTAGCTTCCGTCTAGGGGAACCCGATGTCGGGCTTAAGAGGACAAACTTCAACTATGGGCGGCCAAACTTTGAGCATGGGTTGTGGATGACTTCTCTATAGGTATTAATCTCATGCCATTTTCTAAATAAAATGCATTTAGGATTGTGGAAGGATTTGAAATGAGTATGAGTTTAGAAAATTTATGTGAAAGGTTTAGGTATAACCATTTAAGATGAAAATTTCGTTTCACCTAAATATATATACAATACTTCCTCAGGTCCGTTCAATGCCTAAAAGAAAGTTTTCTCTTTTTTTCAACATTAAACCTCAAAAGAGAAGGATGATCTCCTAATTAAAGAAGATATCCTCTTATGTGAGGTAAAAATTTAATAAACAATAGCTTTGATTTCTAATATAAAAAATTTGTTTTGCCTTGGGAAGTGAAGTACTTAAGTTTTCATGTTGTAGATTGTAGTTGGATTGTGATGTCCATAATTTTTGCAGATTGCACTTCAGTATGGAAGCTTGGAAGCTAAGACAGAGCTTTTGAAGTTGAAGAGTTAATGGATGTTGTAATTTCCCAAGCTCCATGGAGGATCATGATATGGTTTTCTTAGAGTATCCTTGGGACTGTTTTCAACATCTTTATTAACCAAGTTGACTCTCTGCCTTTTAAACTAGATTGTTAAATAGCTTTTGCATCTCTGTGATTACTCTTTGATTTTCTTTTGTGTATTTGAGTCTTAGCCTAGGACTAAGGCAACTATACTATCTGAGAGCTTTGATTTTGGATATTCTCTTCAGGTTTGCTCTTTAATGTTTTTGTCCAACACATTTTGGACATTTGCTTATGAAATTTTGGGTTTAGCTCTATTTTTAGAGGCTCCTTTGTCTAGAAGGGTTTTATGGCGGGATGTAGTATTATATACTATGTATATACTTCTTTCATCCTACAAAAAAAGTTCTTACATTCTGAGTGTTTTTTGTCAAATATTACAAACCTTGAAAAAAACTACTCAACTATTTATATTTATTTTTTTACAATAAAATAACTGAAGCTCTTGAATTGCAACGAAAAAAATAATCTCTTGGATCATAATTGGAATGTTGTATACAACAACATTTTCTAGAACTTATGTTTATATTTCTATTTTACTAATATTACGATATATTGATGAGTGAAATATACTACCGGAGTATATACATTATACCCACTATTTATACAAATTTGAAATTTAGTGACTTATTATTTTATCCCTACTTATGAATTATTTATTTATTTCAATATGTTTATCCTTAGATAATATTTCTGCCGTGCATCGCACGGGTTAGAATCTAGTAATCAACAACATCAGCAAACTCAGAAAACTTCCATAAAATTAAGGTCTGTGGGGGTGTGTGTGTATGCAAAGTCATGGACTCTATTATGATGTATCGTAGAGAGACAATTTCCAAGAGACGTTCAAATACAAAAGTACGAACAAAGTATGAACAAAAACAAAAGAAGCATCCAAATCGACTGTGTAAACTAGACATTAAAGCACAAAACATAAAAAGGACACGAGCACACACCACATTCCAAGACATAAAAGCACACCAACATAAATTATAAAAAAACAAAAAAAACCCACAAATCTTCCACCACCGTACTCCTTTTAATGCCCTCCACCCGTAATCCTCTCACATCTTCTAGGGGCCTCAACACCCCTCATCATAATGTGCCAAACCAACCACCCCAGCATAGTTTATCGCATGTTATCCTCCACGAGTACCCCTGCCATCTTACCCCAAATAACCTCATTTTGGATCTTATATTCTTATCCATCTTTGTACCACCACACATCCATCTCACCATCCTCATCTCTGCCACTTGAAGCTGACAAATGTGAGTTTTCTTCATTGCCCAACACTAAACTCCATATAATATAGTCAATCTAACCACAGCCGGATATAAACTTACTTTCAAGTTAGACATTATCTAGCTGCAAAGCACAACTGAAGCTAGCCTCCATTTTTCTCAAGTGGCTCTAATACAATGAACAACATCCCCATCAATCTCCTAATTGACTTAGATCATCGAATCAAGGTACTAAAACTAGTCTCTTTAAGTTGGCACTCGGTACGAACGAATCATTATTTCCACTCTCGACTCAGTTACACACCCAATCATGTAGTGTTCAACGTACTTAGTCGTAACCCTGCTCAATCTAAAACCTTCGAACTCAAACCACTAACGCCAGACTTCCAACTTATCATTGAGTCCCTCACGTGCCTCATAAATCAATACAATGTCGTCGGAAATAGCACTAGCATGCACCAAGGTACATCCCACCAGTTACGCTGCGTGAGAAAATTTCATCACCAAAAAAATAAACAAGAAAGAACGAACCCTTGGTACAAGGTGTAATCCCATCTCCACAGTGAAGGGATCAGTGTCACCCCTGACAACCCTCACTTTGGTCCTTGCCCCAACATATGTGCCTTTCACCACACACATGTATGCAATCAAAATCCCTTTAGACTTGAGACACTGCCACAAGATCTCTCTTGGAACCTTTCCAAGTCAATAAATATTATGCTTAGTTCTCTCTTCTGGTCCCTAAACTTTTCAACCGTTCTCCTTATGAGGTGAATGACATCCTTAA